AGGCCTGAGCAGTACGTTGGAATCGACATTAAGCTATGGCATCATGGAACAGGTTCTGGTGCGACCACGCTTTGTCGCAATCGCATGATTACACAACTTAACGTTTTTTTTTTGTTTTTTTTAGTGACGTATGTGCTGTTTTTTCATCAGCTGTACCTGGCGCCACTGGTTCAAAAGCCAGGGGCATCTCTCCTTGCTATTCCGCTTATATTGCCGCGAAAGCTTTGTACTGTTTGTTTTGTACGTGTTCCTCTGACCTATGGTGCAACGCACCTCGGGGGATAGGCCATGGATCGTTCGCGTTGAAAGTTACCGCCACAAGACTTTATCACTTTTGTGCGCGATACGAGATGTCCTAAAAGTAACTACAAGAAACTGGAACAGTGTCTTCGACATTGTTCCACATTCTTGTCGTTACTTGCGGGCGCTTATCTCGAAAGTTTTTTACGGCTTTTAAATTGAGCACGGCCTAAAGCACCAAGCACTCTGTTCTTCGACGACCGCCGTGCACGTTTGTTGCTGTCGCCGGCCCCGAGTTGTACGGTTCTTAGTTGGCGCTAGTCCGCCTAATGAACACTTTCTTTTAGAAGCGTTTTGGTTCTCTTCCTGACCGTCGGACTGCCGTCATCACTACGTGACAATACGTAGCATAACTTCACATCAGGACACATATACCATTTATTTACTGACTTTTAGAATTTTCAGACATGAAATCGATCACACAAGAGGACACACAATATGTCCGATAAAAGAAGTTCATGAAACGCATATAAGCAAAGAAAGTCGCATTGAGTCCGTGTAGCGGTCGTGCTCACACAAGCTTTGCCATTTTTCGCAAGTCGTGGCTCTTTTTTTCATGTCTATTCTTCAATTGCCTACAGTACTGACGCATACGTAGGCAGATATAGTAGTGTAGCAACTTCGCAAGCATTTCTTCTTTGTGCGTACCGCAAGGAAATGTGAAGTGGAAATTCTCCAACACGGCATCAGTAGTTTTGTCGTATGCATCCCTGTCCCCTGCATACTTGGCAAACTGTTCCTCGGTGTACTTGAAAAAGTCAAAGAGGTGCATATTTGGATGCGTGAGCCAGCCCCGGGTTTTACAGTTCACGAGATCAGCTTCGGGCACGCTTGCGAGACCTTGTTTTCCTTGAAGAGCGTTCTTGCAAATGGAACAGGTTGTTCCATTGCGAAGTTTTCTGGACACAAAACCTGTAACGTAGTAGACAATGCACTCAACTACTGTTGCGTCTGTGTCAGGGTCGTCGAAATCGAAGACATCATCGCACTCCCAGCTTCCTTCGTCGATGAGCCCGTCAAGCTTTCGCTTTAGTTCATCCAACTTTCCTGTGCGTTGCGCGGCAGAACCTTTATATATTTCCCTGATATCAGACAAAGTCACAACGGCTGCTTGTCTTTTATCAGGCAGCGTGCAATTCCCAACTTTGGTGGTTTTACCAAAGAATATAAGCTGAGCATACGGTACAGCTGTAGGAACGTGGGAAACGTCGGGGTGCTCATTTTGCCCACCAGCTTGCCTGATTATTCCAAGAAGCGCTCCAGCGGGTCTTGGTTCATCTTCGCCGTCAATACATACTTGAAGTCACAGTCCTTCAGCAGGTAAATTGACAGCTCCCGCACTGATTTCAGGGTTACGCGTAGGCCTTCTGCAGTCGACTGCGTCAGAAAAAGGTCCTTATGAATTTCCCCGCTCACGACCTGTTGCTCCCATGAGTCCAGCCACGCGGATGCAGATTCTAAAACACAAAAATCTCTGCCTTCTAGTTTTAAGCCTTCTGCTGGAAAACGTCGGTTTAAAGCGTCAAAACAGGTCATTTAAAAAAGTGTGAACTCGACCGTCGGCTCAACATTGGTCAGACGAGACGCGCCTCTCTTTGCATAGAAAAGAATACCTTTGGCTACGGAGTTGCTAAATATCTGCGTGGCAAGCTTCACCCTCATCCTCAGCATTTTGGAAGGGTTGATGTGGTTGAATGTTTATTTAGGGCACACCTTTAGCTCTGCTTTGTTCTCGTTGTCTGCAACGTACAGGGCATCGTAGCACGACCATTTTATCAGTTTGCCGTCTTTTTTTAAGAACCTTCTTGTCCAGTAGCCTGTTTCTGATGCACTTGAAAATGTGAGGCGTATCAGACAGCACATAAACATTTCTAGAGCTGTCCATTGGGTGCTCAAAGGAATTACGGACGTGGCCAAGTGCCCAGTAATGCCGAGCTGCTTCCACATCGCGCGATTGGTGGATGCACCATCACACACTACTCCGTCTACGAACAAGCCGGCTTTTCTAGGTGCACGATGCACTGGATCAGGAGTTGCGAAAGCAGCGTCCCCTAGTTGGTCCTTTTGACGCAAACACGGCTACTGGCTGTAGGTAGGTTTCACCAAACGGAGCAAATGCAAAGACGAGGCCATGATTCTGCGAGTTCCTTGCTCTGATTATTTTTCTCTCCTTGATCAACAAGGCCAGTGTACGTCATTGTCTGCGAGTTGACGCCATTTCCTTTCTTACTTGAATTTCGTCCAAGATCAGGATTCCCCGCCGCTGGAATGCGGTCCTTTCCGGCAACTTTTATCTTGAGGGCTTGAAGAAGTTGTCGTCGAAACCGCACTTCGGACCAACCATGCTATGTACTTTCGCACTGTGGTAACGCACGGCAAAGGCAGTATATCGTTGTTCTCAAGAAAGAGTAGGTGGCCGGGCTCCGTATGTGCAGCAAGAGGCACAACAAGATCCAATCGTCTGTGTATCGCCTGCTTGTTTTTGATGCGCACCTTGCGACTGATACACATTCTTCTATCAAAAGAAGCTGTGCTGGCGGTATATCAAATCCCTTTAGCTTCTCCTTGATATCTTGCTCCTGCAAATCTGTTAGCTCTTTCATCGCTGCTTGCAAACTGCTCCATAACAGCTTGTTGCGCTTGGCCAGTCGTGCTCGTGACCGCTGAACAGCTGATCGTGCATGCCGCAAAGCAGAAAGCTTCTGTTGTTGGGTGGGCACCACCGATAACCTGAAACGCTTGAGAGGTATTCCCTGCTTGGCTCGCGCAGCTCGGCGATCAGCATGTATTCTAAGGGTGTCAAACGAGGCCCGAACACAGGCGACAGATAGCCCTCCAGGTGTCACCAAGAGACATTTGTTGTGCTCCTCCAAGCTTTTTTGACAGTCCACAAAGGCACATTCAGGGGACACATCAGGGAAGTCCTTTAAACTAGGCCCTCCCCTACACACATCTATGCCGTCAACAACTTTGAGCATGGATTCAACTTCAAGGGCAGATGTGGCGAAGGGACTTACCCCTATTGCAGCAGAGTCGATCAACTTGTCTAAGATGTAGACTTGGACTTCCATGTTGCTTTTGACATGCAGAGCCTTCCTGTTAAACAGCACCGACGATCCGTCGCTTGTCCTATGCGCAACCGCAGCGTCAATAAAACACGACGTCCCTCACTCCAGCTAAGTTGATGAGATGCGCCGCCCATGATGGCTGTGGCAGGCTAACGCAGATACTGCACTGAAAAGCCGTTCGAACACTGAGTCACATGATTACTCTCACCAGTCTTAGTCACACAACAGCTGTCGTCAGACGACGTTTCCATATTGTCCCGCTGGGGAGACTTCTATGTGGCTAGCTGTCGTTGGCAAAGTTGCTGCTATTGTTGTTACAGCTACTCACCGAAGCAGCCACAGGAAGCGCTAGCCGTTTCACTTGCTTTCGAGGGCTTTTAATCTTTCTGGACAGGTAGCTTGGCGCCCCTTCGAAAATTGACGGCACAGCGTCCTTTTGAAAGGCCCGCTCTTCTTGTTCCAGACATCAGCACATGGCCGTCAATTCCCGCAGACCACGTCTTCAGGATAAAACGGGAAGCGAAATGCTTCTCACAAACGCGATCCGTTCTTTGGAGCACGCGGTCCTTACGAGGAATGGCTCGTCTCCATGCTTCCAGTCTTGCTTCATCGTTCGGCGGCTTGAAAAGCGAGGAACTTTTCTTTGCAAGACTTGTAACCGGTGTTACAAAACGGTACGAAGCACTTTCCCATTATGCAGGCTCATGAAAAAGTTCGAAGGTTGGGAGCTACCTGGCAGACAAATGAACAATGCTTTGACAACACCCGGCGAGCAGCAACAACGTGCCGTGAACAAAGCTGCAAACGGCTAGTGCTGTCTGAGAGCGCGAAGCGAGTGAGCGGGCACAAGTTTCTAGCGCCCTCTCTTGACGAGCGGAGAAAGGAGAACTCTAAGCGTGCCGCAGTGGCCCTCGCCCAGCGCGCGCCGTTCAATCACCTAAGCTACTACTTCTTACACCGTGCCGTTCAGCGATTACAAACGGGGCGTTACCCTTGCACGCCCAACGAGTTTACTGTGGGAACTTCTTCGGGTCACATAGTGCTCCAGGTGCGTCTTACAGTTACTAGTTTTTCTTAGTGAGCCTATAATTGGAGGCAAAGTTCTTCGAAGATTCAGTCATCCATACTCGTTTCTCTATGTTATTTCGTCGGGAACAACTGTCTTTTAATATAGAACTAACGCAGCATTTACATAACATATCAAAGCCACTTGATCTTCAAGTGGGCACTATCAGAAAAGAGCATGTTTCCGCCATCTTGGCAGTGGCAAAAGCTGGCTTCACTTCTGCTGGCAAGGCATTGCGGGAGCTTCCACTCCAGCAATTTTTCTTTAATCCTCCTTGGTTGCAACTCCCTTAGACACTAGCGCCAGAGTTCCCTCTAGTTAGTATTGTGGGAAACTCTATGGCTGCACAGCCTACAGGCTGCACATAGGCGCGGTCTTCGTATTACAATGTACTGGCAAAAGCTTATTGAGCAGCAAACCTAAGCTTAAGTTTGAAAACAATATTTTTTTTTGAAAAGTAACACTAACAAATTTTAAAAATACAGGTACTTTTTTTTCTTTGATAACAAGGCGTGGCGAACCAGTCGGAATGCATATCCAACGTTAGATGGCGCTGTAGATGTTCTTTGAGAAGACTGCGTGTTGCTGTAAGTAACCAACTCAAAGGATCTTGTGGTATAAATTCAAATTGCAGTGTCTATTTTGGCCATATCGCAGTGATTGTTACCGCTTGCGAGTAGTTTTGCGTCCGATGATAAATTCGCCGTGCTGTTCTCATGCGCAAAGAATCGCGGCAGCCTAGCCGGATCGGAGAGGTTTGTTGATGTTTCGGCGTTCTTAGTAGCGGCGGAAATGAGCAGCAGCTTCCAAAAGAGTACGAGACCTGCTCATCGTGGTATTGCGGGTACAAAGTTGTCGCCGCATACTGCAGAGACAGTGTTGTCGTGTGGTGTTTCTTCCTTAGATTACATTCTCGGTGGCGGCTTGCCTCTTGGAGGTATACTGCTGGTGGAGGAGGACGCTTTCGGTACCTACTGCGGGCAGTTGCTCAAGTACTACGTAGCAGAAGGAATTGAGCAGCAGCACCACATTTACCTTGCTAGCGGAGTCTTTGAGCCGACAAAGTTTCTTCGCGAACTGCCGAGAACATTGCAGGTGGCTGCTGGCAGCACGACGCAGCATGTGCCAGCGTCTGTCGCTAGTGATGGCGACTTGAAGATAGCGTTCCGCTACGAACGCATGGCGAAACAAGACTCTCTTCTAGATTACGAGGAATTGAACCATGTTTTTGACTTCTCTGATCGCATTGAAAGTACAAAGCTCGCCAGTGCTTGTGTAGTGACGTTCGACCCATACGTACGATGGGGAGAAGCGACGAATGGGCACGTAGGTGCTCCTTTAGAACCAAATTACGAGTCTGTGCTTGCCGATGTGAACAGACTCGTTGACGAAGCAAAAGCAGATGAGAACCAGTCGCATTTTGCTGTTAGAATAGCCCTGCAAGGGCTCTGTTCTCCGACATGGGGTTCGGTGGCGGGGTTTTCCACCTTCCTTCACGCGTTAAAAGCGGTAATCAGAGGCGAGCCAGTCAGTGTGTTTGTAACAGTCCCAGCAGTAATCACGAGGGCGCACCCCAGCGTTCTCCGGCGTTGCCGCCGTTTGGCAGACATCGTACTTAAGATCCAGGCGTTTGACGACCATGAGCGAGGCGCCAACCCGTTGTACAAAAGTTATCACGGACTCCTGAAAATCGTCAAGCTGTGTCGCCTGTCGTCACTAGGCACCCGCATGCCTGAATGTGACTTTCTGTTTCACCAGAGAAGCAAGAAGTTTGTGGTTGAAAGACTGCATTTGCCTCCAGAACTTGGCCCTGATGAGAATGCACTCACAGAATCTAAGATACCAGGCTTGGCATGTGCCAGCAATCAAAACTTCAGTTTCTGAATGTACTTGATAAGCAGCGACTCAGTGACTCTCCAAGCTGATAATGTGCCAAAATTTCCACTAATTACCTTGTGTTTCTCTTGGTTTAAAAATATGTAGCTTAAAATTGCCAGGTGTTGAGGTTGCATCCTCATAAATTTAAGTTTTAGTTTATTCCTGTTCACATGTATTGTAGTTATTAATACCTTTGCTTGGTTGGTTTATTTAAAATGTTCATTTGGCACTTTTTAATTACTGTTGCTTGTTCTATTGATATAGATGTAGAAGTTTTATATTATGGCAGCAATATTTTCTTATTGTGGAGCTTTTTAACGTTGAAGCACCATTCTTAATTGAATAATGATAGTTTACGAGGTTCTGAATTTATAACATGTACTAGAGAGTAACGGTTACTATAGTACTCAATGGATGTGTAAGCATGAAGCCAACCAGAAAAGTGTCTTTTAAACTTGCACAGACAACTATGAGCCTTATTTTTTTGCCCACTTGTGATGCGAGAATACTTCCGTATGTATAAAAGGCCTGAAGTATATTCATGTGTATATGTTCTGGCCTATTTAAGTGTTTGTTGCATGACTTTTGTTTTCTGTGAAGTTCTTACGGCAAAGTGCAGATCATTCTGTAAAGTTAAGCTGCCAAACAAAATCATGTCTTTGGTTCTCTTTTCACTAATGCTGTCTATCTACCCTTGCTGTTTACATATTCAATTAAAGTGTCTCTAAAGCTGCTAGATAGTTTAGACTAAGGTGTGTGATGTTATCGCTAATGTCACTTAACATGGCCTAGCACTACAAAAAGTGCTAGGCCATTAACTGTAGTGCTAGGCCATTAACATAGCCTAGCACTACAGAAACATGTTATTCATGCTTTATATGAAGCTTGTTTGTGATTACTTTAGCATTCTGCCAAAATTTACAAATGCGATACTGCGTGCTTATGTGGAGTTGAACATTACACGTTTCTAGTGGGCTTTATTTCCATAGAGTCTTGGAGGCAGTGTGTGATGTGGTTGTCATTTTATACATCAGCCATGTATCATATTGATGAAGTCTTGTCTTGTCAGTAACGTTAAAGGGACTGTCAACCGTCCTCCACTCCTTGTCTGTTTTGTGTCACAATGAAAAGCATACCATCTGAAGCGTCCGACCGTGCAGCAGTTTCTGTGGAAAGCGTGTAGAAATTTTGAAAACAAAATTTTTCAATATGCATTTGGTCTCCTTCCATCAGTGGGATGAATGCCCTCCACACTGGCAGGTGGAGGCTATTACAATTATACTGCTGGTGAAAGTGGGAAAATGAAAACCGCATGCAGTTTTGTAGGTTACATCACGTTTTGATTATTAATAAAACAAATACCTTACTGATTGTTTAAGGCATGCACCCACTTTTTTGTTGCTTTTATGAGCGGTGGTGGACGCTGTGCTCTTGTTTCTGCGCCGTTTGCAGGCAGGCAAGACACCGTCGGCAGGGCCGGCGGGTGCCTATTTGCCAAATATTTGAACACTTGAGAAAAAAAGAAACACAAATTAGTCTCTGGCACAATGTGAAGCTGTCTCTAAGTACATAAAATACAATTTCAAGTTATAAGTGTTTGTTTTTAAGCAATACAAATCTACCTGTAAGGATTTCTTGTCTTACCAGTAGATTGGCCGTATCACTGTTGGGTGAGGCTAGCGATCATTTTTTGTCAACTTTCAACATCTAGTTAAATTATAATTCATTTTTTATGGGACAAAAGCATGCTCGTTACCGCTGATGTGATGAATGATCTTCTCATTTGTGCCACGATCAGAAAAAATTTTCCAAGCGGTAGACAGTCCCTTTAAATGCTTAAGTAAGCAATTTAAAGAACGGCACACCTTTTTTGTTTGCTTTTGTACAGGTTAGTCGAGGCATTGAAGTAAGAAATGCAAGTGTCCTGGTGGGTTAGTCTCATCAGGCTGAGCATTACGATGAGTTCATTGCCACCTCTCTCTTTCTAATGCATAGAACTGTCCAGTGTGTTGGTCATATTTACTTTATTTTCCTGTGCTTATTTCTTGCTTACTTCTGTAGTATGTGTTCATGCACTTTGTTAAACTGTTAAGGGAATTGTGCCCTCAATTGTTTATCTCTTTTTGTTTTGTAGTTTACACCAAACATGAAATTTGCACAATTTTCATTACACTTATGTGCGGGGCTCGCACTTTCCTAGCAACAGTCATGAGCACATTCACCATTTAATGTCGGAGTGTGGAACTGTACGAAGAGTCATCTGTGTAGGTCATTAGTATGACATACAAAGTAATGCGTGTTCTTTTATTGTGTTTGCCTGAATAAACATCTTTATGCATCATGTGGTATCTGTTAATTGTGACCACAAAAGCAGTGCTTCCTGTGGGGAAAGCCACTGTGCAATTCCTGCTTGCGTGAGCTACTACATAAGTGGTGTTGTTTGTTACTATTATTTCTGTCGATTTTGTTTGCAAGGTACTTTGTTTAAATGATCTTACGCTTTGTCACTGCACATTGGAACAAATTAACCATCTAAACCGGGGGTCTCAAACATGCAGCCTGCGAGCCGCATGTGGCCCACAGCCCGCATATGACTCCTTTCGTTCCACTTAGTCTCTTTTATTTTAAGTATGTTTGTGAGCTACACAAGCAGAACAGATGTAAGGAGTTGTTTTCGTGAGGCACCCTCTGCAGTCACCATGTGTTGAAACATAATCATCATCAGCCTGATTACGTCCACTGCTGGACAAAGGCCTCTCCCATGTGCCGCCAGGCAACTCGGTGCTGTGCTTGCTGCTGCCATTTCATACCCACAAACTTCTTAATCTCATCTGCCCATCTACCCCCTTACCGGCTTGGCTTCACTGGGAATCCAATTAGTTACCCTTAAAGAAGCCCTGAAACACTTTTTTGAGTAACCATGGAATTAATTTACTGGAAAAGCATATTACCTCACATATTGAGCGCCGCAAAAATTTTAAGAATCCGTCCAGTATGAGCGGAGTTACAAAGATTTGTCACACGCTGCAATTAAATTCTCTCTTCTCCCGTCCCGACGAAAGCACTGGAAGCTGAGTAGAGAGAGATGGGAGGGGCAAAAAAAAGTCACTTGTGACCTTGAGCATTTTTTTTCTTCGAATACACATATTTTTTGTGCGATTATGCGTGGACAAGTGACAGCCTCTGTGACAACCGAGCACGCCATGTTCATGTCAGCCAATGGCTGATAGATGGGCTTACTAGGCTTAATTCCATGATTTGTCAAGAGAAGAGAAAGCTATTTTTAAAGTACTTTAATAATTTATTTTGAATTGCAGGCCGCACGCTGCGCTATAATATTTGGCTCGCGTGTTGTCAGGGGCCTCTACTACCGATTGGAAGAGTTTTCTGACCATGCTAAAAAGCTGTTGCAGGGCCCCTTTTATTACCAGCGGTTATCCTGCCTACGTACTACATGCCCAGGCCATGTCTCTTTCATTTCATCTTGATTTCAACTATTATATCCTTCCACCATTTTCCACACCTACCATCCTTCCACACCTACCATTTTCCTTTCCATTGCTCGCTGCGTCGCCCTCAATTTAAGCTGAACCCTCTTTGTAAGTCTCTAGGTCTCTGCTCCGTAGCTAAGTACCGGTAAGGTGCAGCTGTTATTTACCTTTCTCTTGAGAGATAGTGGCAATCTACCTGTCAAGATTTCAGAGCGCTTGTCAAATGTGCTCCACCTTATTCTTATAGTTACTTCAATCTCGGGGGTTTCACTTAGTGGTTATTACCTGTCCTAAGTAGACAGTCTTTTACAACTTCTAGTGCATTATTACCTATCTCAAAGCACTGTTCTCTTCCGAGGTTGTTGTACATTACTTTCGTTTTCTGCAGACTAATTCTAAGACCTAGCTTCCTGCTCTCCTTGTCTAATTCAGTGATCATGAGTTGCAATTCGTCTCCTGAGTTACTCAGCAATTTAATGTCATCTGCAAAGCGCAGGTTACTGAGGTACTCTGGCTAATCTCCATTAACTCTTATTCCTAACCCTTCCCATTCTATGCCTCTGAAAACCTCCTGTGCGCACGGGGTAAATAGCATTGGGGGAAGTTGTATCCCCTTGTCTTACACACTTTTTGATTGGTATCCTGTCCCTTTCTTTATGGAGCACTATGGTGGCGGTTGCATGATCCTCTATAGATTTCTTCCAGGATGTTTATATATGCTTTGCTGACGCCCTGATTTTGCAGTGCCTGCATGACTGCTGATATTTCTACTAAATCAAATGCTTTCTTTTAATCTATGGAGGCTATGTATACTGGTTGGCTGTATTCTGAGCATTTCTCCTTTACCTGATTGATAGTATGAATGTGGTCGATTCTTGAGTAGCCTATTTGAAATCCTGCTTGTTCCTTTGGTTGATTGAATTCTAATGTCTTAATTCTGTTAGCAATTACTTTTGTAAATAGCTTGTATCAACGGAGAGCAAGCTGGTTGGCCTGTAATTCTTCTAGTCCTTGTCATCTCTTTTCTTCTGTATTGATAATACATAAGAAACATAATCATGAAATAGCAATTTTTTTTTAAGAATCGGCCTCCAGGTTTTAGTCATATTAGAGATTGGTTTCGACATGCTAGTATTTTGGTGTCAAATGTTCAGACATGACCTATATATGAGGCCCACAAATGGCAACGTGTGGTGACAGTTTGCACAAGCTCATCCTCCCTCCCTCCCCCGCTCCAAATTTCTTCATGGTGTGGCCCTTGCGGCATTAAATTGTGTGACTGCGACCTGCTGACTGAGTTGAGTTTGAGACCCTTGATCTAATCAATCGTTCAATCCAGATGAATGAGCTGGATATTACTTCATTGTAATATTCATGAAGAATCATTTAATATGGTAATAGATATTTTTTCATATACACTTGTGAGCAAGGCTATACAAACCGTGGGAGTATGCGCTCAAATTGCCATCGGCACCGTCCAGTGGTGAGCTGGCTGCTATTACGAGTGTTGTTCACGCTGCATATGCCAGCGCAATGCCCTGAACATACCAAGCTCTCAACAGCGGACTGCTCACTGCTAGACGATGCAGATGGCAGTTCGGCATGCATTTCCGTGATCTGCATACTTTTGCTAATAGGTGTACATGCGTACGTTTAGAGAAGCCCGTCCTCCATTTTCCATAATGTAGCTTATCTACAGAGTGATAGCTTTATTTTACAACCTCGTGCATTCAAACCTCACTGCAGTCTCTGCAAATTTATTTTCTAGTTTAAGCATGGCATTTGGCATTTAGCCTTAAGCCAACTGCTTCCATTCCTTCAGGGTCTGTCGGGCCTTGGCTCATGGTAAGCATGTCCTTTATGGTTGTTAGACATCTAAACAAAGAGCTTTGTTAGTTACAGGTTTTAACAAATCTTTTATTACAATTTGCCCTTGCCAAGCACATTCGGTCTACTTTCCCCATGCTTGAGGGCTATAACTTACCTGTCTATTACATGAGGAGAACCTTTTTCGCATGGAAATTTTATTAGGTTTTCATGACTAGGCTTTGAAATTGTTGCATCACACTTTCTCATAGTATTTTTCTTTTTCAATGGCTATGTGCAGTAGAAAATATTGGCCTTCTCTTGTGCAATTTTCTTTTGAATAAGTGCTACAAGGTTTAGTAGGGTAATGGACACAAGCTTGCTTGAAGTAACTTATTTGCTGCAGCTTTGGGTCACACTTTCATTTGATGAATACTGTCTTTCTTTTCTCTTTAGGAAAGTCTCAACAACGCAGTTAGAATAAACGAAGAAGTGCAGCATTTCTAATCAGGTGAGGCCACAAATTCTAAGAAGTGCGTGTTTTGGAACCCATAATGTTCCTTTCCTTTTTCTCTAATGTTAGGTTATTGGCGTGCTCATCTGTTGGTCAGGACAATACAAATAAAGGAGATAGAGGGTGCCACTTTCTTATCACTTTGTGCAGCACATGGTTTGATTACAAAGTCATTGTCTGTTAATGCTGTGAACTGAACTTGGCCGTGGAGGTATGCAATGATTTATGCAATTTTATTTTAGAATTTGTTAGCATTATTGGACAGCATAGAGGGCCAAGAACTTTAATGGGCACATGGTAATGTATCAGAAACAAAGGGTCGGACTACCGTTCATTAATTCAATTTGTTTTCTCTTCATAACTTCCATCTGCGTGCAGGTGTGGCTGTTCATTGGCGATATGTTTGAGAGCACTGGTGATGCCGCACACTTAGACATATGGTACCTTTTCAAATTGCACACTTTCTTGAAAGCCCAGAAAAATTGAAACAGCAGTTATTAATCACAAATAGAAATTACTTGAACACTAATTTTAATAGGCCATACACTTACTACATTGAAGATTTTATATTTAAAAAAATAGTTTAGAAGTTTGTTAATTGTTAACTGTCTGAACTCATTTTAAAAGTGCATTACGCTGCTCAAGAAAACAGTTTGCAATACCAAGTTCATTGCTAAAGCTTGGCCTGGGCTAATTGAAAGACCATGGATAAACACGCAGGATGACAATATATGTAAGAGCATTGTATTCATCAGTTTAATTATTCTAAAGCATTCAAATTATGCAGTGATAGCCATATTGGTTGCATCTATCACCTTATCCTGTGAACAATGACTTCTAAGGAAATTTTATTTGCAACTTTGTAACGTGGTATCTCCAGACATTTCCACTTTGACATAGACAGGCCCTCCAACCAAAATGCAGTATGAGGCACCTTCTGTTCATTCCTTATATCTGCACTTCTTTCTCTACAGTGCCTGCTAGACTCCCCCCCCCCCCCCCCCCAATATTTTTTTTTATTGCCGCGCTCCCAATAATCACTGCTTTTACATTTTCTTCAATACCAAAATGCACAGGATTTTGAAAATAAGCACTTCCATACCTGAAGTCTAGGTATAATTCATGGGTTGGCAAAAAAGTAGTGGTGCCTTTTCTTTCTCTTCAAAAGATCTTAGTCTGCTCTGCTTGAGTGCTTGCAATATGGCGGTCTTTAAATTTTTGAAATCGGCGTTGTGTACAGGCTTGGCAGTTTTTCTTTTTGCAGTGTACATTCACCAGTTTCTGCCTAATGTCTAAACTTCAGCAGCAAGCATTCAATAAAGGTGTTAAGAGTTTATTTATGCTAGAGAGCCAGCTCAGAGGTATACGAAATGGACACTAAAAAGGAAAATGGTTTTTTTTGCCGATTAATTACTCTTGCAATTTATGTATCACCACAACAAAAGAAAATGGGTGTGTGTAAATGCCAGCTTAAAATTTCCACGCTAACGCCATGGCATCGTCGATATTGACGGCGTCAATTAGGTCACATGTAGTTTTTTATCAATAAAAATGAAGTACTGTCCTTTGAGGGGAGCATATAATAATAATAACTGGAGTTCTACAGGCTAAAACTATGGCATGATTATGACACAGAACGTAGTGAAGGACTGTGGATATTTTGACCATGTGGCATTCTTTTACGTGCACTGACATCGGACAGAAGATGAGCCTACGTCATTTCGACTCGCTTGAAATACGACCGCTGCAGCCAGGATTGAAGTCACAACCTTCAAGTGAGCCGAGCATCATTACGGCTACGCCACTGCGGTGGACTCTGAAGGGGCCATAGATTCTGCATACAAAGTTTTGATTTATTTTGTGGAGCCAGTGCCTCCAAAATATGAACACACTTTTGAGCCGGTGACATCATGTGCAAAGTTCTTGGTGGAAAATTTTAAATATGAAACTTTGACCTTGTTTTTATTCTCTATGATTGATCCTATAATAATTAAATGATGACACTAGAGTTTTCAAAATGCAATTAATTATTTTAACCATTTCATTGTTTGGCTTCAGTTTTCTTCTAAGATAAAGACTACCAAAAGCACTTCGAGTGCCTATCTGGAACTAAAAATTTGTGAATTTTACCAGAAGCACCTGGATTGCTCTTATGTAATATAAATACGTTGTGAAACTTTTGTGCTACGGCTCCCAAATCATAACATGTAAATAACTTGCAGCACCTCACCCTGTAGTCTGTAACCGTGTGGTTAGTAATACCAGCCCACTTGGCAATCTGGATTACCAAGTAAGCTGGTAATATAAATGTTAATAATAATGATATATGGGATTTTACGGGCCAAAACCACGATATGACTGACATCGCACAATACACAGGCCTTTAGCATGTCGCCTCCATCAAAATGCAGCTGCGACAGCCGGGATCGAACCCATAAGCTTCAGGTCAGCATCTGAGCATCATTACTACACCACCGCAGTGAACGATAATCTAGATGTTAGGAGAGGAGCATTCTTCATGTGTAAGAATTTCTGTCATTCCAAATTTGAAACATTTATTACCTTTAGTAATGGCCTGAAAAGTGGGTGTAAAGTAAGCAAGACATGCTATATTTAAGGTTAATAGTATACAATAGTGCAAGGTCACTCAAGGGCCAGAAAGATGATGTTTCGGCAAGTCCGTGCCCTGCCTATCATAACTATGTTAGGTAAACAGCCACACAACAGGTTGAAATCTACAATTATTCTCGATTTGTTTCTTGATTTTCAAACGTTGTATCTGTATTAGAATCCATTTTCTCAGCTTAGTGTTTGCGTGTTGATTCACATTCTGGCTTGCTGTTGTTGTGTTGAAATGAATTTGTGTAGTGGTGTAACGTGAAGCGATTCTATAGGGCAATCTGAAACGATTCAACAAGACCCATCCATGAAACTGTCAAGGTTGCAGAGGGGCTACTTTCCAATATTTAAAGGATTCTGTTGTGTATACATGGGATATACGACGCATCACAAATCTAACATTTGATTAATGTATTCTGTGGTTTCTACAGGCAGCACATCTCTTTTTATTTGCAGATTGCTCACATCCATCGATGTTGATCGGCCTACAGTACTGCGTCCAATGACTTGTGAGTATCTCTAACTTACCACCACCTAAAACTATGAAAAATTGTCTAGTATTGTGGTGTCTTTTTGCACTGTAAATGCAAGCTCTGCAACTAGGGTCATTAGCTTCTTCTCCTAACATACTAGCGTTAAAATTACGATTGTCTGTTGGCACCTCTCTTGGGTAGACAAACTGTCAATCACCTGTGGCACACACCCACACAATTGTGTGCGTACCCACACAAGTGTGTGCGTATCCTACTCATGAACTCGGACCGAAGCATTAATACTGAAGAGCACTAAAAAAAAGTATGACACTGGACAGGGGCTAACAATTGTATTTTCGTCACAACTACTAGGTTTAAATAGATATATTCATGTGGCCTGTGCATGGCTAATATCGTATCGGAAGCAGCAAAAAATGAAATATAATGCAGAAAATAAGTATGCTATAACACATGCAGAATAACAAGGCGCAAACCACAACTGCGCATGTCAAAACGAGCCCTGCAGATACTATTCAAATACAGAAGCATGCAAAGGTATCGAAGCCTCACCTATACATAAAGCAACATTCTTTCCGATTAAAAACGCTCTAAAGCAAGCAGAGTGAAATGTGTTTGCTTTTGTTCTATATCCTAGTGCTTCCAAAAATCGGTTTGTACCCACATGCATAAACGTGCGTCACCATATGCTCATACTTGTCCTTTTTCTTTTTTTACGCTTGGTGCGTGCTCCCTAAGTCAGTCATTTATGCATCTATCAGACTGGCTGATGTACATTTTCCCACAGAGCTTGAAAATGAAGTAAACAACTCCAACAGAGCATTCCAGAGAAGGGTTTGCATGTCTGGTGCTGCATCTTCATTTGCTTTCAACGCAGACTCGAGGGCTAAGTTTTTGCAGCTTATAAGGGCAGGAAAAACCAAAGGCATTTTATGCTCATTTGCCACCTTCTTGAGATGCGCGACAGGGTGTGCCCGTATGGCATGACCACTGGTCTTCCAGTCAAACTTCGAGCCCTTACCCTTACCCTTTCTGCTTCGTGTTTGACTCTTTCATTAGTAAACGGCAACGCCGATGTTTGCGACTGGGACCCTCTCCTTCTTTTGTATTTTGCAATGTTTTTTGTGTGTTTAATTTTGATGTGAAAAAAGGGGAAGAAATAATTTAGAGAACAAATTTGGTTATTATCCAAAGAGTTTGCACCTGCCTTAGCTTGTGCCACAATTTGGTTTTTCTGCTTACTTTTTCAGACCTTATACGCCATTCAGCATAATCTGCCTTGCCAATGGATGCTGCTGACGAGTCTAACATGACGTGCCATCAGGTTTGTTTTTTCATTTTTTTCTTTCATCTTTTGCCAACTAAGTGAAAGTTACAACGAAAGAAGAAAAACAAAAAAGGAGGAAAAAGCAGTCCCGTGGTTTCAACATGCAACAATTGTAATTGAAGCACTTCATGCTGTCACTCAAACTTCATGATAACAGTGTTTTGTGTTACATGAAAATTAGTTCGTTATATCCAAAGGTTCGTTATAAGGTATATTCCTAGCACTGTCTAGAGTACTCTTCATTTACTTCGTTATATTTTGGTTTGTTATATAGTTTATTTGAATGCAGTAGCTATTCCTACAAATTGGAAAAAGAGAAATGTATAAGTTTTCTTATTTGGCTTTTATTAAAGAAAAGAAAAGTGAATACAACTTTTACTTATTTCAGTTATTGATGTATTTTGTGTGCGTACAATTATGTACATCATTGATTGATATAACCCCCCCCCCCCCCCCCAACACGCCTCGAGTGCTAAGAGTATTTCTTGAATAAAGAATAAAAATGCTATGGGTGAAAAAATGTGTTGCAAGGTCATGGCCTAGAGCATTAAACAACTGTGTGTCTAATGCAGGTTCTTTGTTTGGAATGTGTCATTGAGGCCTTACGTCATAGTACCAGAGTGAGAACACAGCATTTAGTACACACAGGAAGGGAGAAGGTGGGGAGCAAGTAGTTGCCATTTAATGAAAAACAGTCTGCAGAAAAGCATTTGTATGTATGTTCATGGGAGACAATATGTATGCAACAGTATACAACAAGGGCAATGTGGAACATGGTTTAGTCACTGCTGCATGGTTGAACAGGTGAGCTTATGAGTAAAACAAAACGATGGCAGTTGGTGTGAGCATGAAGTGGCGGCAGCTGTAGTATAGTTATTTCAAGTTAGGCACATACAAGCAGGTTCAGCATTGTAAGAATTAAAGATGGAGTTCTAGAAGGACAGGTTGACCAGTAGAGGACTCCTGCAAACGCAGAGCTGCAGCTCGATGGCCAACTTATGCTCACATGCCACTTTTTAGGGGACCACAGGCTTTTTGGTGAAAGTAAAGCACCAAAGCTTTCATTTGTAGGAAGGCACTAACAAGTCCTTGCTTTAGGTCTGAAAGTGGACAGCAAATATTTAGTACTAGTCTGGTGGCCTTTTATCATCAGGCCTTCCCCTAGTATGGTTCAGCCCAGGCAGGGGCATCCGCAGACGTAGGCATTTGGTGTGTAGCGACACCACAACCCGAGCTAACGGGGGGGGGGGGGGGGTGCGACTCCTTCTCACTCCTAGCCGTAAGTGGATTTGCCGTGTCCGGGAAAAAGGGAATTCTGGGGGTTGAGTTGACGCCGGGTGATTGGACCTTTAACTCTTTCCTTACCACACGGAAAGTGGCTGATTTTCGCATGTTTTAGCTAGGAATTTTCTGTACCATTTCTGCCGAGCTTACGGTGTTATGCAATACACTGAAATAAAGGCGAATGAATGTACTTTCCAATGCTCTTTATTTCATAGCAATCAAAAAACTTACTTGCCTCAAGAAAATTCCTATATAAAAATACAAAATTTTACAAAACTTTTTTTGAGGACGAAGCAACACTTCTAACAAACATTTTTTTAGGGAAATTCTGAAATATTCAAAATGTTCAATAGTCACTGGGCAGCATTACTTAGAGGAATTGTTAAATTCAATAGAGTTGTCCTCAAGTTTCAAAAAATTGCATCATGCATAGCGAAATAGTGAAGTTCTAGGTTGGTCGTACCCAAGATTTTTTTTTGAAAAAAAAAAAACACTTACAGCAAAATACTGGATACCAAAATGCAAATATTAAATGGGCGGTTTGAAAGGTACATTAAAAAAAATGGCAGTTCTAAATATGTAACAAAAATTGACAAACACAAATAATTAACTAAGTTCACAACAAAGGTAATATTGATAGACATATCTTCTGAGTAAAAAAATTGTGGGAAAGTATCAGGGGTGCAAAATATGCCAAACAGTGGAATGGAATAACAGTGAAAAAAAAAACGAAAGCTTAAGCTAAAGAACTTTTTGAGCTACGAATTGTTCATTCAGACAGATCAGTGTGCCAAGCACCAAAACCATTTCTCACTGTGAAGCACTCATGGATGTTGCATGTGCGAAAGAAAACGTTCGTCTTGTGTTGAATTTTGTTCTCTTGGTAGCACTTTTACAATTGCGCTGTATGTCCAATCTTTCGGGCTTGTGCTGTACACTTGCGGGTGGCCGAAACTGGGGAACTTACTCTCAACTAACAGCCATCTCGTGAAATTTCTTCGTCGGAGCTGAACTTCGATGCCGCCACATCATTGCCCAAGTCTTCACTGCTCAAGAAGTCCAAAAGATTGTTCGTCCAAGTGTTGGCATCGAGCGAAATAGCCGCTACCAGCTCGCACCTCCGGGCATCCAGTGCCTCCGAGGAGGCAATGAATACGTCGGTACCTTTGGTGCCGAAAAAGTGGCGTGGCTCCTTGGAGCGCACCAAGAAAACAAAAAGTAGATAACAGGGCCAGGTGACGGCTCTGTTGCTCAAACTCATACTCCCCGCATAAACAGCGACTCGCTTTTCGTACACACTGCACTACTTTACATTCACCATGAACACTCAAATTACACAATGAACTGTTTCGAAATGAGAGCGCACTACTTAGACACGGACAGAAAGACAGGGACAAGTGCGTGTCTAAGTAGTGCGCTCTCATTTCCAAACAATCATGCATCACCAACTCGCCCAATCAACCACACTGACAAATATACAATGAAACGTCAGGGGCCTTCACAGAAGCCTTGACAATGTCCAAGAACTTTTACACGAACACTCACCAAAAGTGCTGTGTGTACAAGAACACACTTAAATCCAAAACACACAACTTTCTATGTAAGTACGCTATTTTCCGAAAGGACTGGATGATACCGTGACATCATCCGGAGGTTTTGCCATAATAGTGAATCAAGTTTCAACTCCAAACATCCTTTGAGGCAGTGGCTGTTCGAGCTGTGCTTTTTGACAAACTGATCACAATTTGTACTCTTTACCTACAAAAACTACACCTACAAAAACCTACAAAATCGCCTACAAAAACATGCCTTCCAGTCCTTAATGGATGAACTTCCGGAGCCTTATGTTCTCCTTGGAGACTTGAATGCGCATAGCAGGCTACGGGATGACTCTCGTTGTGACGCCCGCGGTCGACTGATCGAACAGTTTCTTCTCTCTTCCAGCGTGTGTCTCCTGAATCGAAAAGAACCAACCTATTATAACCTCGCTAGTAATACCTATTTCTCCATAGACCTAAGCATAGTATCTCCATTGCTTGTGCCTCTCCATCACTGGGAAGTCATCACTAATCGCCATGGAAGTGACCATTTTCCCGTAGTTTTGAGCACATCTACATCAACTGAATGCCCGCCACAGGCTTCCAAATGGCTCATAAGCAAAGCCGACTGAGAACAGTTTTATACCATCACTCGTTTAAGTTGGCGCGACATATGTACTTTAAGTATTGATGCTCCTTTCAACTACTTCGCAGCGTTTTTGATTGATGCTGTAACAAAATGCATCCCACAAACAAATGGGCACCCTGGAAAACGACGTGTGCTATAGTGGAACTCTGAATGCCGAAACGCGCGTAAACAGCATAACAGCACATGGAGATTGCTTCGGAACTCACCGACAGCCGAAAATTTTGACAGCTTTAAGAAAATAAAGTCTCAAGGCAGGAGAACGCGTCGGCAGGCCAGAAGAGAAAGCTGGCCAAAGCTTCTATCAGGGATCAATTCATATACACAGGAGGCTAAAGTCTGAAACATGGTTGGTAGGGTAGCAGTAAGACAAGTAAACACATTCCCACTCGTGAAAACACAGGGTGACACCTCGGAAGATCAGGCAAACTTCCTCGGCACACACTTCCAGCTCGTCACACTATACTGATGCTTTCCAAAAATACAGAGCAAGAATCGAAAAGCAGAAACTTGAATACAAATGTACCGTATATGAGGGATACAACCAAGCTTTCAGCTTAGCTGAGCTCCAAAGATCATTAAACTTCTGCAGTAATTCTGCCCTAGGATCTGACCGTGTGGTGTATGAAATGTTGAAAAAACCTACCAATCGAAACGCAAAAAACCTTACTTTGATTGTACCATGCTATCTGGTTGTCTGGTGCTATCCTTATTTCCTGGAAAGAGGCAATAGGCTATTGTTATTCCCATTTTGAAACAGGGCAGGGACCTTTCTTGAGTTTCAAGTTGTAGGCCTATTGCCATTACAAGCTGCCTGTGCAAACTTTTCGAGAAAACGATAAACTGCCGACTTGCATATTTCTTTGAAACAAACAATTTGCTTGACCAATTCTAGTGCGGGTTTTGAGAGGGTAGATCCACCACAGACCACCTTGTTCGTATCGAGGCACAGATCAAAGATGCTTTCATCCACAAGCAACACTTGCTTTCTGTGTTTCTCAATACGGAAAAGGTATATGATACAACACGGCGCTGGGGAATATTAAGAGACCTGTGCCATCTTGGCGTGCATGGCAGAATGTTTACCATAATCGAAATTTACTTGTCAGATCGGACATTTCGTGTTCAAGCGGGCAGCGTTTTTTCCCAAACATTTGTCTTATAAACAAACATGCCGCAAGGTAGTGTACTTAATTGCACACTCTTTATTACTAAAGTGAATTCTTTGCACTTGTCCATTCCTCATAGTATGTTTTGCTGCACATATGTCGATGACATCCAGCTTAGTTTGAACAAAGTCTCCAGTTGGGCAGAAGAAAACGTGTTCTGGCTGAATGCATAAAAAAGCACGTGTGTTTTGTTCTCCAGGAAGAGAGGTATTTATTCCGAACCTGATATTCAACTGCATGGGCAACGTCTTGCTGTTAATACTGAACATAAATTCTTAGGCGAGTACAGGACACTAAGCTAACCTTCACACCACGCATCAAGTATTTAAAAAAGAAGTGCATAAAATCCATGAATGTTCT